AATGTAGCCTCTGACTCCGTACAGTAGAAATCACTCTCGGATTACTCAGTGAGGTAAGCACAGGCTTACTTGTGCTTCCTGGCCAACCTATAGTGAATTTCCTCCCACAGGTCAGCATTGCAGGGGGCGGACAAATCTGCAACTGTGCACCATCAGCCAGCCTGTGCTTTCCTACCTGCAGGTCACTGGCCTGGCCTGGGGAGGAAATGCAACGTCTTACTTCACTTCTATAGACAAGCTGGACCTACCACTCAAACATTTTCTTGAATACATTTAATTTAGTGATAATTCTGAAACGAGCTTCACAAGTACGACCTGAGACTTTCGGGAAAGGGAGAGATAGCCTTCTTACAATCTGCTAGTATTTATAAAGTAAATATTTCAGGTTTTGTTCCCTCGTCAAAGTATATGAATTCAATCCACTCAGTATCGTTTCTTTATAAAAACTCAGATGCTGATGTGCTAACCTGAGAGCCTTCGAGTAATTTTTCTGCTGCACTTCTAAAATGATTTGGTTTCAGTAAAAAGATTGCCAGTAAACCCTCTTCAATGTCCCCGAGCCAAATGAGTTACTACCCCAGTAGCCAGCAGACCCCCCCCAAGCAAGCACGCCTGTGTAGTTTCAGTCTGTAAAGCTCCGTGAGAGGAGGGAATTTACTCGTGTTGATTAGAAAGACCAGTCACCGTCACGTGTTCCCGCAGAAACGTTTGAGGTACAGAGCCTGCCATCAAGCGCTGAAGTGACTCGGGAGACTCTGTTGCATGTTAAACAATGGTTAAATTCACCACCAGCCCTGAATGATCGGAATTCAGGCCACGCTTACAGTTCAAAATGATACAAGCAGAAAATTCTACAACACATAATTACTATAAGATTAATTTGTTTAAAAAAAACTAAATGAATTATGTTAAGATTTTACTAAAAGTAAATTCACACAATTAACTTGGTCCATGTGTTCCGGAAACGGTAATCCTTAAGAATCAAAGTATCCAGGTGGATTTGTTTGAACACCCTTGAATGAGGCCGAGCCCTTAGGAGTTTGGATAAAGCAATTAAAATGGAAATTCAAAGCAACTTCTGGACATTTAACCCTGCAATTGGCATGGACTCTTAAAAAAAAAGGAAAGGGTAAGGGAATCATTTTATACCAGCGATTACAGAGACATCATGATAAAATGCAACCTGTGCATCTCAATCGGGGGGCAATTGTGGAGTGTATATTAAAAGGAGCCCTGGGGGTGCCATGGCTAAAGCACCAAGCTACCAACCAAAAAATCAGCGGTTCAAGCCCACCACCAGCTCAGCAGGAGAAAGATGCTGCAGTCCGCTTCCATGAAGATTTACAGTCTGAGAAATCCTACAGTCCACTTCTACTACGTCCTACAGAGAAGCTATGAATTGGTATGGGCAGTGGGTACGTTAAAGGAAACTAATGAATGCCAGCTGTGTCATATGGAACGAGATGGTAGTAAGGAAGTTAGGGTTGTGTGCTACAATGTCATTGCCAAAGGCCTGAGAATACTGATCACATAGCCGCTGACAAATCTAGGAACTTGGCTGCTGTTGCTGTGTCTTTCAACTTTGGGTTTTAAATTTTCCAAAACAAAAGACTGGGGGAAAGCACTCTAAAAAAAAGTAAGGAAAGTTCAAAAACAGCAAAATACTTCATTTGGAGAAAAATCAGCCCATGTACATCAAGTCCTCTCAGAGATGCCCTCCTGTCTGCAGACCCGCAGGCTGCACGGTCTCCTGCAGCGCTGGCTGATGGGTTGGGACCACTGACCTTTCTGCTCCCACCGGGGCTCCTAATGTGGAGGAAAGGAGCCACGACAAAAGTTCCACCTGCAAACCGTACTTGGATTTTGAGTCGCTGGTTTTGTGTGCTACAGAATAGCTTGTACAAACAAAAATCACCGAAAAGAATACAAAACAAGCAAAAACAGATGACTTTGGCTGTGTCCACGTGAGCTAAGCTCTGAATGCAAAATGCATTCTGTTGCCAAAAACACTATGCTTTTTCAGATGAAGAGCCAGGCCTCAATTTCAGGGGGACTGGATTCTTTCAAATGAGCTCGTTTATTTTGGAGACCACCAATGAACCAAGTTACTTAAAAACAAAACAACACAGCAAGATAGATCGTATCTACTGCTTCAATACTGTAAAGGAATGCTGGCACTAACCCTGCAGCACGGATCCTCTTCTAGTTCTATCTGACTTCTGAATGTGGGAACCACCTCCCTGCCTTCAGTCCAGCACATCCCCCGCCTTCTGTCTGACACCACACAGGTTTTACTTTGTTCTGGCTCTTGCTGCCTACGCCTTGCAATAGATGTGACACTGACAGGTGTGTTGTACGGAGGAATTTTCTGCTCCCATTCCGAGACACAGGAAGCTACAGAAATGCTGCTGCAAGAGTTAGAGCGCCTATGGAGCTGTGGCTGGCTCATGAGTTGCTGGCCGTTGGAAATCTGAGCAAGATAGTTACTAGAAAGCTAAAAAAAGTGGAGAGAGATTAATAAACAAGGCTGAGACAATGAGAAACAAGCATCACTTTTCTCTGTTAGCATACCAAGATTTAACCATCTAAAATTGATACTAAACGGGGACAAGCAACAGAAGGGAGGGAGGGGAAGGAGACAGCGGTTGTTATTGGCTATGAAAATAGTAATTTATAATTTATCAAGGGGTCGCGAAGGGAGTGAGGGGGGAGGGGAAAAATAACTGATAACAAGGGCTCAAATAGAAACTAAATGTTTAGAAAATAACGATGACAACATATGCACAAAAATGCATGATACAACTGATGCATGGATTCTTATAGGAGCTGTAAGAGCCACCAATAAAATGATCGTTGAAAAAAATAAAAATTGATACTAAAATCGCTACATGTGTGAGAAATTTTTAAATATTTAATAAAAGGTTAAAGACATAAAATGAGAAAGGTACTTCTCATCAAAACATATGTTCCTGCATAGGGTATAAACTCACAGGGACTGGCGGTGAGGCAGCTCTGGGAGCCACTTTTTCTCGGTCTCGATCCCGAGAGGGTCTCTCTGGCTTCTCTGGTTTGGGATCCGTAACAATGGCCTTCAGCTGTTTCAGTTTCTCATCTTTGACCCAGAGTTTATTCTGCATCTCCAGCTGTTTGGCGGCTACGCGCCGCTCCTGCAGATCATCAGTGCCAAGTTACACACTACTTCACAGCACCGCCAGCAGGTGCCCGACTGCCCCACCCCTTCTGCACTCACGCATTCTTTCTCCCACTTCATGGTGGTCTCCGTCACCATGCCTTGCAACCTGGCCTCCAGTCTCCGTTTGTCAGAAAACTGTCGCTGCAGTTTCTGGTTCTGGGTTTCGAGTTCCTGCTGCAGATGGCGCTTGTCTTCTTCATAAATGGTCGTCGTTTTCTCCAAGATCTCAATCTGAGAAGGGAGACCACGACACATTTTCCACAGCTAGCAAATAGGGACCTTCTCAATTTGTTTATATGTGCAGTTATGGGAGAAAAAACAGAAACACAGAGCCCTGCAAGGGAAGTACTTTTCCTCTAATATTCCACCAGAATTTCCACTTCCATTCCTAGAAATAAGAACCCAATAAACAACTTCCTCACTGGAAGACCGAGTTATACTTGGCTTTCCTCAACAGTGGTTCTCAATCTGTCGAAAAACCCTTTCACAGGGGTGGCCTGATTCATAACAGTAGCAACATTTCAGTTCTGAAATAGCAACGAAAATAATTTTATGGGGGAGGGGGTCACCACATGAGGAACTGTATGAAAGGGTCGCGGCATGAGGAAGGTTGAGAACCACTGCTCTGAAATGAAGGCTTAGGATTTTAATTTTACAGACTACTTTCAGAATCAACACTGCAGTTAGCTTCTCTTTGGCAATGGATGACGCTGCGCAGTGGCAGCCCCCACTCGTCACCCTCCATCGGTGGGCTCTCAACCTGATTTGTAAGGGAAGCTTGGATCTGATCAGCATTTTGCTAGTATCTCTCACACCCAAGATACTAACGGCCGGCACTGCCTGGCTCCTTCAGCCATCATTTACTTCTCGCGCATTGAGGAACCCTACCTGTCACCAGAAAGCCACTGTGATTACAGGTCCTCTCCAGGCAGACCTAGAGAGAGGTCAGAGAGCATCCCCTCCACTTGCTAACGTCCGACTTGTGAAATTAGAGAAGATATTGTCTGGTTTCTCCCTTTTGTGCTCTGCACTCCCAGCCCTGTTTCTTTGAAATGGGATGAAGCCTGGGAAATAACCATGTGATAACGTACAGCAAGCAGCAGATACTGGCCATAGAGCAGGGACAGCGAAACCCAAGTCCAGAGTTAAGTGGCAGCACATACACCCACTATAATCACAACCCCAAAGCAAACCTTATATTCTAGAGTTTTGTTCTTCTTCTCCAGCCGCTCTAATTCCAATTTCTGTCCTGAGATCACCTTATCTCTGTCACTTAGCTTTCCTTGAATGTAGCTTTCTTTGTTTAAAACGGCATTGTCGAATTCTTGTAACCAAGCTTTGAAAGTGGTAGCTGAAACGAAAGCACACAGACCCAGTGGGACTCCAGAACCAAAATCGGCAACACGCCCGTCCTTTATTGGCAGACACTGCATAAATTATCATGGCGACCCAGTGTCAAAGTAGGCCTGCAGGTCGTAGGGATGGAGCTGTGACGTATGCACTGGGCTCCTAACCAGGAGGTCAGCAATTCAAACCCACTGGCAGCTCCTGTAAAGATGTGCAGTCACGGAATCTCAGAAGGACCCCTGAACTCTGCCCGTGGGGCTGGTGTGAGCTGGAGTGGACTCCGCGGCAGTGAATTTGGTTTGGGTAGTTTTATAGAAGTAGATCGCCAAGCCTTGGTTCTGAAGCATGTCTGGGTAAATGCAAGCCTTTAAAGCAGTGGTTCTCAACCTGGGGGTCCAATGACCCTTTCACAGAGGTTACCCGATTCATAACACTAGCAAAATTACAGTTTTGAAGTAGCAACGAAAATTTTATAGTTGGGGAGGGGGGCGGTCACCACAACATCACGGAGTGTATTAAAGGTTGAGGAAGGTTGAGAACCACTGCTTTCAAGTTTTTGTTCCCAGCTGGGTGCTAATCCATTGCACCCCCTAGGGAAGGGAGTTACAAGTAGGAAAGGTGCAAACGCCATCCCACGGGGTGGGCCTGCAGTTAGAAGAGGAAGCTGTGTGAAGCCAAGGTCGTACAGAGGACTCCGCTACAGGATGGGCGCAAACTACCAGTTTTGCTGTGAGCAGTCAAATGTACACTGTTGGGGTACTTGATGGCGTCACCCAAGTCAGAACTGACTCAGGAACAACAGCTTTGGTTTGGGGCATATAAAACATACTATTTAGCAAATCAACAATTGAAAATCTGTCTATAATCAGAAAACAAATTTGACAGGAAATCTGGAGTTTGATTCTCAAGTCTACATGAGATGGTTTTGCTTATTGGGGGGCAGAAAAGGAGTGGTGTTAAGAACCACAGCTTTCCTTTACAATCCCTTTGAACCCAGCGCCTCCAGGCGAATGATCAGCCACGGCCAACAAATGTGCAAGTAGTGCAGGACAGGGGTCAGGCCAGAGCCGAAATCCTCGCCATACCACTTAGCAATCATGTAACTCTGGGAAAATTAGTTAAGTTTTCTGAGCATATTTCATTTAAAAATGATAATTTAAATACCACCTCCCTTCACACCTTATTAATAAAAGAGTGCTTTCACTGAGCACAATATACCAGCTGATACTGTACTTGCAGTAGGAAAAATAAAGAACAGAGAGGCAGTAAGTCATTTGCCCGATAGGTATGTACTCCTGTATATAATTATAGTCTCCGAAACCCACAGGGGCAGTTCTACTCTGCTCTGGAGCGCCACTAGGAGGTGACATCAATTTAACATCATTGAGTTTGGTTTTTATGTCAAGCGCCTTGCAGATATAGAAGCCGAAAAGTCAAACCCAATCAACTGCCATTAAGTCAGTTCTGCCTCATAGTGACCCTCCCTGTAGGACAGAGCAGAAACGCTCTTTGGGTTTCTGAGCCTAAATCTTTACAGAAGCAGATTACCTCATCTTTCTCTAGCACGAGGGGCTGGTGGGTTTGAACTGCTGACTTTACAGTTAGCAGCACACTGCTTAACCCACTATGCCACCAGGACTCCACATATATCAATAGTAGGAACTAAAACCAAGCAGCTTGGGTGGCTTTTCTTGTTTTACCTGCCAGGAATATAAGAACTGTGAGAAATGGCTCCTTGTCAGTCTAATGGCGCAAGGCCTTGAACACTGTCGTGTACAGTGACAAAAACCAAGGGAAGTTCCTTGCACTTGCAGGGGAATGGACTGCACCGGCTTTGCCCTTACACTTACACTGTCTGTTGAACTCGTTGATCATTGCTTGCCGCAGCTGATGTCGCTTCTCCAAGGCTTCAATCAGCCTGGGGAGGGTCTGCTCGTCGTTGACATCCAGGATCTCGCAGGATGGCAGGGGTGGGAAACTCTGGAAAACCACATCCATCACCATGGGCTCTGCAGTGGGGTAAGAAGTCTGAGTCACACACACCGTGGGAGAGGAGCTCGCTGAAACAGCCGGACAGAGTCATTACGCCTCCGTTCAGTTAGCACGCAGGCCAGAGAAAAGTAGGTAGCCAGAAAAGCCTTTTATACTTGGGTTCACATTTTCTGTGCTTTGTTCTCAAAAGGATAGAAGCCAATGGCTCTCAAGTGGAAAAGGATTTTTTTTAAAAACTAGAGGCCATTACAAGGCAAATTATATTAATATCCCATCATACCATCTCCAATCGGACCTCCACGAGCCTGGTTTCTGAATCGCCTCCCAGGAGTTAAACCACAGATTGCCTTGTCCACTGGTCTTGCTACTTCAACTTCTTGGGTCATTTCTGCAAATCTCATGACTTGCTAAGATACAAAACAAATGACGTTAAAAATAAAATAAGCATACCCAAATCCTTCTTCCGAGCTCATTAGTTAAAAGCAATATGGTTTGGTTGTTAGTATGTAATTTCAAAAGATGTTATTTTTCATATCCAAATAATTAGCAATTTCCTACAGAGGCGTGGATAATATATAGGACAAATAAATTCAACTGACCAAGCTTTCTTCATAATCTTCAGCCTTTGGATTCACACACACAATCATGCGTACTTTTCCCTCCCCGTCAAAGTAGTTCTTGAACAGATGGGTCAACTTGGAATCTCGATATGGAACCATCTAGAAAGACAATCAAATCCAAACACATGGCGGCCAGTGCAGACAAATGAAAGCACACGAACAATGAGCAGACTGTTCTCTACCTTGTTAGTTCCATACATTTGATTCTCTCTGAGGACCTCCATGCACGTTCTCAGCGTCATGAGTGACTGGTTAATGTTACCTGACAGAAAAAGAAAAAAACATTGGAAAACAATGAACTATTATCTGTTTGCCTATAAGCCTATACTTCATAAACCTATGACACGGACTCAAACACCAGATTTTAAATGCTTATCTTAAAAAATTGGCATCCATACATGGCCCAGCTCTTTCAAAGCAGCATTTCAGGAAAAGTAATTTTTATGAGATCTTATCAAATTACCCTAATTCTCTACTAAATGAAATATTGTACTGAATAACCACTTAAGATTTCTCCCCAAGTCTGTATTCTGAGAGGGCATGAAAACTGATATTAAAATATTGTCCTAAGGTATGACCACTTCACGCTAGAGCTGGCCCTGAGAAACTCTGAAAGAGAGTCCGCAGAGCGTACCGCCTAACCTCAGCAGGTTCACGGCTGATTCTCACAGCCAGCAGTCTCAGGCACCCGTTCCCTCTGTTCCCTGTACAAATGAACAAGGATTCCTTAGACTCTTACTTCCGAACACTCGTTTGGGTCACTGAGTAAAGGCCAGTCTGACAGATCTATCCAACCTGCACAGGCACCTAATATACTTAAAAATGTGTTCATTTGGCAGGAAGTCAGCTAACCTCACCATATTTCCATCTCTGGCCACTCCCCAGAAAATCAAAACTCCTCTGCGCTCCCTGTACTCCTTTCATAGTTCATGGTTTCTCTTCCTTGACCCTAACTCCCACTGCTGCTGTGCCTCTCAGTGAGCTCTGTTCCTGTCTCCTATTTCTCCACACCTCCAGCTTCTCCAGGAACCGTCTGTTCACTTCCCTGCCCCCTTCAACATCGGGGTGTCAACCCAGAGTCCATCCTGCTCACAGTGAACTCCAAGGAGCCTACATACTTGCGTGAGATAGAAATCACATGTCTACTCAAAAAATCTTACCATAGTGAATGATGGGGGGAGTGCGGAGTGGAGATCCAAAGCCCATTAGTAGGCCACTGGAGATCCCCTTGCAGAG